TGGGCAGCCCCATCCAAAGTTCAAAAACCATTTGAGTGAAAAAATTCTTCCTGGTGTCCAGCCTCAGCCTCCTGTGGCACAACTTGAGGCCATGTCCTCTTGTTCTGTTTTATCCTTTCATTTCTCACATCCGTTTGTGTACTAACATAATTTAGGTCCAGAGGTTCAAGTACTTTTCTGTTCATAGAATTACAATTTGATGTCTGTGCCACCACTGCAGTGGGGAATTCCTAAAAGATTCAGGCATCAAACCAGTAAACCTGCAGCTGATCCCATTCCCTGCTCCATTAATTTACTGGAGTCCAGGATATTGTTTGTCTCATCTTACAAGTGGAATCCCACGTAATTCTCTGCTTCTTTCTCACTGATTGTGGAGGAGGATGAAGGTGATGAGCTCAGCTGTAGAAATTATTGGAGGTAAATCCAGTAAAATGAAAGAAATCTGCACAAGGCATTGCTGAGCTTTGATTTGCCAGGGCAATTAGGAGTTTAGCTTCCCACTGAGGAGGGTTTTGCATGAATTTTGCTGGGGAGATGAAGAGAGATGAAACAGAAATCCACATTCTCTCTTCTATGTGGAAAAAAATTATTTCATAAAGAATTCAGAAGGGTAGCTCCTTAGCAAATTGTCTCTTTTGATAGAGAAAATAAAAAGATGCAAATATTCTGTTCTAAAGGACCAGAAGGAAAAGCTGCTCCCAGAGCTGGAGCACCTGCATATTTTGGTAGTCAGTATCTGCTCCCATAGAGCAGCAGATCAGGCAGGTAGCAGTGGACGTGTATTTACACCATGAAAAGACAAATTTGGCAATATTTTACATAAGCTATGCTTGAACCTGGTGAAATGTTAGAAAAAATGAGGCAAACAGAGTAAAACTTCAAAAATCAGTCAGTGATTCTTTGAAAACACAGAACTGAGGGAAAGGACCTTTGTACCAAAATCCCATTTCCAAGTCATTGAGGCTTATGCTTTAATTCTGCCTAATTTGGAAATACATCAATGCAAAATTTCCACAAAACTCATTGTTCTGTCAGGTTTTCTTCATCCTTGTTCTTTCAGAATCTCTCTGGAAAGCAAATAAAGCCTTTCCTCCACTGGGGATGCCAGTGCTATGACCCAATGTTCTGTTTTCACATTAAGACAAATTAAATCATTAATTTCCATGCAAAACAAGCCAGATACCCCTGTTGTGTCATTATTAGGATTACAGCACTGGCCCTGAAAGCACTAATTTCTCTTACAAGTCCAAACAGCCCTTGCATTTTGCAGGTAGGGAGAATGTCTCACAGAAGGAAAAAAAGAAGATAAAGAAACAAAAAACCAAAGCAACTGAGGCAATTCCTACTATTTAGAGAAGCTATTTAGCATGCAAGACATTTAGACAGGTTCTAGCTGAGAGCCTCAGTGGTTACTTTTTAAAAATCAGCCAGCATTGTTTTGGGAGTGGGGGAGAAGCCAGCATGAGCCCGAAAATGTGGAAATTACTGAACTGGAAAACCAGAGTGGCAAAGGCATGGACTGAAATACAGGCTCAGAGCTCCTGCCTGTTCCTTACAAAACTGGCAGAGCTCCCTCGACTTCAGCTCCTGACTTCCATCCCTGGAAGTGGCAGGATTGAGGAGGTAAATGCAGCTCCGTTGATCCAGAGCTCTGCTCCTGATTTAAGCAGAGTTATTCCAGACGTGCACCAGAGATCAGACTCTGCCCTCTGCAAATGGAAATCGCATCCCTTCCCCAGCCCCCTGGCTCCCTTCCCTTCATCCATCCTGGAAAAGAATAATTTCTTCTCATCCTGCACTGTAGGGAAGCATTTGACAGAAATTAGGGAGCTTGTTTGTGCGGGAAATTCCAAATTTTCATACAGAGTGCAGAAAATTCCAAATGTTCTGTGGTGCATTCCCACTTTTTTTATCTGAGGAGGAGATGGTGGCTCCTTCCCCTGCATTTATCCTGTAGGTGTCACAGTGACTGGATATCCTTGAAAGTCCTTGAAAATCTTTGTGTGAGATTGATCTGATTCATTGTTGGCATCTACAAGGTGGAAGTTGGGAATTGAGCTCCTTGAAAAACAGGGGAGTGGTTTAAGTAGAAGAAAAGGTCTAAGAAGAGGAGAAGAAAATAGCAGAGAAGTGTAAGAATGGGAATTTGTAGGAGATGATGTATCAGAGTGCACATTTAAAATATATCAGTGGGGGAAAAAATAAAAACCAAAACAACCTCCAAGGTCCTCTGTGTCCCAGCCAGATTCTGGGATAATTCACTGGGCTGTTACAGTCTAGATAACTGGAATTAGAGGTGGATTCCTATCCCTGTAATTCCTCATTCCTACACAGAAATATTGCCATTCATCAATATCTACTTTTACACCTAAATTAATAAATTATAATTTGCCCAGGTTCTTCCAACATTGGTCAATTCACTAAAGACTTTCAGGGCAGATTTAATGTCCATCATAAGGAGGTTGAGCTCTGCAAATAATGGGTAATTTTCAGTAGACAGCACCTAATTATAAATGCATAAAAAGTATTTAAAAGATAATTGGTGATTTTAGGTCCATATCATTGTTGATCACTGATGAAAAACCTGATTTCCACACTGTGGGTGAGGAGATCCCTCGGAGCATTTATCCCCTCTTCAAATATTTTAAGTTGGGTATCCAAAGTGATTAGGAATTATTAATTTGCACTTGAAAATCTCAGTCATCAGCCCCTTTGATTTTGGATTATTTCAGCTTTCCATGCTGTGCAAATAGAAGCTAAAATACATAATTTAGTGTAAATTTTCTCATTTCTCACCAGCTGTATCATACAAATCCTTATTGTTGGTTTTAGAGAAATCCAGTAAAATATCTGAAATGAATAAATATTGAAATGAATAAATATCTGAAAAAAATTTCAGATATATCCATCTGAAATGAATAAATATTGTTCAATTGAAAAGAATGAAAGAAGGAAAAGAATGACAAAGAATGAAAAGAATGAATATTGTTCAACTGCAAATATAAATTTAAATGAAATTTCTAAACCAAGCATCACTCAGCCATTTGGGATTTCTCTCACACACACTTTGAGGACTGGATTTTAGCTCTGCCTCCTCACTTTTACACATGTATGTAGTTTTGTTTGAAGATTTTCACTTTTCCCCCAGATGCCACCACACAACCATTTAAATGACACTGAAGTTGTAGTAAGTTCTCATGAGACCAGAAATGTTTTATTCCTCTATGTTCTTCCCAATTGTTATTTGGCATTTGACAAATGCACCATGACAGCCTCTGCTGGGACTTTGGCTCATTTCCCAGCGGGAAGGAAAAAATTCCTTCTCAAAACTGCAAGTACAATTTAGACAGATTTCCATGATTTTTGTATTTTACAGGGAGAAAATCAGGGGAAGAAAGTGGAGGGAAATGAAGGATAATTTTTAGTTGACAAATTCTCGACGACTTAAAGTCATGAAGACATTTTCCAATAATAAATAGTAGACACTATAATAGTGTAGCAGTGCCTGGAAAATAGGATTATTTTCATTATTATTGGTTTGCTAACTCTAAAAATGTATTTTAGCATTTAAACTCTCTTTGAATATAAGCCATGTATTTGAATGTCTCAGTGCACCTGTGTGAAATAACCTTCTGCAGAATCCTTTGGGGGTTTCAGAGGAAGATTTTAAATTTTGGGGTTGAAATGTCATTTTATGTATGATTACTCACTAGCAACAGCTTAACAAAGGAGCTGATCCCAACTCTGCCCAGTATTTGATCCTTCTCAGATGAATCCTGGATAGGACTTGCAACCCAATGACTGGAAAATCATTCCTATATGTGAATACAACCAGGATCCTGGTGTACTAGAAATGTGTAAAAATCTTTGTGTCAGGGCCAGAAACCAACATTTGTATCTGTTAACCCTGGAAAAGTAAGTGAGACATCAAACTTTGGAATACCCATCAAAAAACCCCCGTCCATTGACATATCTCTTTTTGTTTTTTTGTTTTGTTTTTTTTTTTGAAGGGACAACTTTAGGGTTGTATTACAGACACAGAAATACACTTAAAGGGTTTTTCCAAAATATCTAAGCTGTTTAATAGGAACACCATCAAAACTGCCACAAAAATACCTCTTTTACTTCCAAATGATTGTGGAAAGGCTGTAAAAGAAAGCTGCAATGAGACAAAGTAAAGAACTGTCACTTTGAACATAGATAAAATAATTTAGCTGAGGAAATCAATCTCCCACATTCTGCCCCCTTAAAAAAATTGTGAATTCATTAATTTCATTGTTTTGTCTTTTTGTTTTCTTTCTCTTTCCTCAACGCCTGCAGCTGCTGGGACATGAATGACAACACTGCCTTGTGGTGGGTGATCAAGGGTCCCGTGGTTGGGTCCATCATGGTGAGTAGAACTTGGAGAAGACACTTCTTAATCCCTCCTGAGGACAAATTTATACATCTTCAAATACTTTACAAACTGTGCTGCACCCCTGTGGGAAAATTCTCTAAATTTCCATCATTTGTCACCCACAACGCCGAGGAATTTAATCATTAAGAAGGATTAAATGATGGAGCACTGCCTGCAAGCAAAGGAGTTATTCAGTTAAACACAGACACAAATGCCATAATTGAGACCCCAGAGCATGAAGAACATTTGTCTGGGGCTGGCAGAGGTGTCATAGGATGTATGGAAATTCTGGGCCAATTGGGGCGGCAGCTGAAGGCCAAGTGGGACAATCCAGGGCACCTAAAACAATAGTAAATTTAAAATAGTAAATTTAATAATTTAAATGTAGTAAATTTAAATAGTAAAATAGTAAATTTTCCCTGGTCAGTGACCAGAAAAATGCACTCTGCCTGCTCAATGGGACTAATTTCACAGCTACATTTATCTATCTAATATTAGATTTAAAATAGTACTTGGTCATGGTGTATATTGCCAGGAAGGTGTCTGAGCTCTCTTTAATCAATGGAACTCTTGGATTTGGCTCAAATTTTGTCAGATACCTGCACATGGAGGACTGAGAGGTTCTAAAGTGCCCTGTTTGGCCTTAACAGAATAGCTAAAATTGGAAAGAATTACTGGAAATCATTTAGTCCAACCTACCTGGTAAAACAGGATTCCCTAGAACATATAATTCAGGATTATGTACAGATTTTGACTATCTGAAGAGAAGGAGATATTCTGGTGCTCCAAATAATAAAATAATTTTAAAATGCTGTTGGGCTCCTGCATTTAAGGAAAATAAATTGAGCTCCTGGCCAATATGGTCAGAGGCACCTGAAAATCTGTCAGGCTTGCCACATGGAAGTGTCTCATTCTGGACATTCTAAGTTGCTCTCCACACTCCACAGATGTAATTATTCACGTTTTCAGTGGGTTTTGTGGGGATTCAGACATCCAGCTCACAGGTAGCGAATAAACCAGGAAGTTTTATCAGGTTTGGGTTTTCTCCTTTGAAATCTTTGGACAGCTCTGTAAAGTCCAGCAGCTGTCAGAGAAATGAAGGGAAATTCAGCCAATTTCAGCACCAAAACAGAGAGATTTCAACGATCCAAAGTTTTTGTCCATGTGTGAATTTCCATGTTTTACAGGCATAGTCTATGAAGGATCATGTTCTGCTTGGAGAATCAGTTAAACCTGGTTTTTGTCAGAGGCATTAAAGAACCAAAAAACCAGCAAAAGACAACTGGGCTTCTCCAGCCCTCTGCAGTCCTCAGATCAGACAGAAACTTCTGGAAGAGAGTTCTAGATGCTGAGAATTTTACACTTTCTGTACTGACAGACTCTGACTCCCAAGAAACCAATACATTTGACCTGAAGCCATAGAAAAAGCTTCCAAAATTGGTTGATGACACTGGGATTACAAGTGTGTAGTTTAATTAGAAGTTTATAATATCAGAAGGTGGAAAACTTTGTGTTTGGGGTTTTAGAACATAGTAATATATACAGAACAAGATAGAAATTTTAAAACAGAGACTAGTCCTTCTTCTTCTTCACCTTCTTCTTTATAAGTTTGAGCAGTATTTTGTAATTAAACAGAAACAGACTTTGAGTGATTACTTACTAAGTTAAAAGTGAAAATAATTTAGATGTAATTTCCTAATTAGATAGTTTAACCTTAAAAACCTTATAAAAATGGTTAACCATTTTATACACTGCTAGTAAAATACTATGGAACTCCCTACCTATGAGACTGTAACATAAATAAGAAAATATAAATATTTGAGTCAAGTACCTTCAGGTACCTTTAATCCCAATCCCAAAAAATAATAATAATAAAAAAAGAAAAAAAATCAACATTGTAATGGTGCCTCATGTGAGGATCAAACTCACAATCTTCAGATTATGAGACTCATGCTGATGCTCATGTTCAGTTCCTGGTCTCCCTATAGGAGTGTAAGATTTTATAATGGACCAATTTAAATTTCCACTGCTCAGGCTCCAAGAATCTATGGAGTTGGTGACAGCCAAATCTCAAGCCAAAGCATTGAAATAACCTAATTTTATCATTCTCCAGGTTTTTAAAACTAATGGAAGCTGTTAAACTGAGAAATCTGTTGGTCAGAGAACAGGAGTTAAAAATGCCTTTACTCTGGAGGTCTTTATTTTATGATTTTTTTTGTGCAGGGACCTTTCTTTTTACTCAGCACAGATTGATAATGAAAATGTTGAAACTTTTCCATTTATGTTTCTCTTCTCTTGTTTTGAAACTGCAGAAATTCTGCCGCATTTAAGCTGCAGCAATGGGGATAAGTCCCTTGTGAACTTTCCCCATTGCTCCTGACCCTATAAAACTTTCAGACTGTGGTTTGGAGAAGATAAAAGGAATGTAACCAGCAAGTCACTGGGAATGTCTCATTTTCATACTTTTTAAAAGTATGTCGTTGTCACCATTTTTAACTTTTTTGTCTTTCCCCCAGATAAACTTTGTGCTTTTTATTGGCATAATTGTGATACTTGTGCAGAAACTCCAGTCACCTGACATCGGGGGCAATGAATCCAGCATTTACTTGTAAGTACAAATAAAGCAGTAATCAATTTAAATTATTGATATACACATAGGAAAAACCCACAAAGTAAAAAAGAAACCTCAGTTGAATTAAGTTGATTTTTGAAAAGAGTTCCAAGGTCTATTAAATTATTTTGATTTTTACTTTAATTTTTCAATCCATCAACCATGATGCCAACTTTCACCTTTCTTTAAAAGGCCTATTAAATAAGCATAAATACAAGATTAAAACTAAACCCAAACCAAATCTAATGTTTTTACATGTGAGTTATCTGAAAATTAATATATTGGTATACAAATTGTTGTTATCCTCATGGGATGGTTTGCTGTGCTTCATAAGTTCCAGGATATGGTTCAAAGTTCACTGAAATCAACAAGATTTGGTGAAAAGTTTTAATTCATTTTATGCTGAATTACAGTGTAGTAAGATCACCCAGACATGCTTATGTCCATGTTTCTTGTAAATTTAAATACATCCCACTTAAGCCAAACATTTCACACACACACCCTGAAAATTGCTTTATAATTCAAATTAAAAACACAAATCCTAAAATTTTCTGCTAGATGTTTGCAGCTTTGTGATTTCTATATTGTTTTAAGCTGGAATCCTTTTTATAAGTTTCCACATCATAAGAGGGCAGAGGTTGGCCAGTTGAGGTGGTTGTCATCATGATTTTGAGTGCATGCAGTCATTCTCCATATAAAAATTATCTAATCCTCTGGAATAGCCAGGATATGGGGCAGCACCTCTGGTGCTGGCCTAAATACCACACACATTTGGTTTTGGGATTTTTTTGTGAGCTTTCTTGTACACATAGATATAGAAGGACTGTTTAATTTAGTACTAAACTCCTGATGAAAATAGACAAGCTATGAACACCTTAAATAAAACTAAAAGATGTCAGGGTAAAGTAAGAAATGCTTATTTGGTAGCAAATACAATTATCCAGTGATTAGCTTCACCCTAAGCAAGCACAATCATAATATAATGATGTCATCCATCTAAATGAGAATTTTCAGGAAAAAATATGTCCTCCAGCTGCCTATTTTTCTTTTTTTTCTCCCTTTATCTAGTTGAGATTTACATTAAATAATAATATTTTCTACATCAATTTTCATGTCTGTAACCAGATATTCACTTACTGAAAGCGCTGCCCCTTTCACCTTGCTCTAAACTGTGTTTCCACAGCCAAAAATAATGCTTTAAATTGATTCTGTGGGTGGATTTACCTCAGAAATAAAACTGAGGATGAGAGTTAGTCACCAGGCTAACTTGTGCATGGTCTGCCTAGGGCTTGCATGAAGGCTTGGATGTTCTGCTAGGAAGTCATCCCTGAGTTCTTGGAATTTAATGAACACCTGATATGTGCAGAGCTGGTTCTGAGTCTGAATTTTTCAGTGCATGTTTGGTGTCTGCTGCACATCTCACAATATGAAGCAAAGCATGCCACGGCCTCCAAAGATTTAACTGGATTGTCAAACATCCTTTGTCATCCTGGATCAATATGGTGACTGGGTTTTGCTGGTGTTTTTCCTATGTGTATAGTTAGCCACCAAAACCAAGAGAAAACATCATATTTTCTGTTCCATTCGCTGCCATTATTTTTTTCCTCATGTTTTTTTGCAACTTTTATAACCGGGTGTGTATAAATCGATCTCGCATTGATGTATGTGTTATGGAGTGGAGTGTTGTTTATCCAAACAGATTTGACAGCAGAAAAGTTCACACAGGGACAATAAAAAGGAATGAAATTGAGAATTCTGTGCAGATATCCACCAGAGAGAGTCAATATTTGTGCACACATACCCTGTAAAAAGAGAGTTTGTAAGGGAGGAAGACAATAGATCATAATCTGGTTCTGTCACCATATTGAAATGTCTCACATTTAGACTCATATTAAGCATTTTCCATGTTCTATTTTGCTGTTTCAACCTATTGTAGCATCATTCCATCAGACCAAATTCCTCATGCAGATCTTTATTCCAGAACATCTTTAAGCACTTTCCCTTTAGTAGGTGAGGAACAATGAGGTTGAGGAAGGATTTTCAGCCTGTTTCTGAAGGTAATACCTCATGGATCTGCAGCTGGGACTGAGATTTATTCTACTATCAGTCTTCCATTTTTTGGAATAACCAGACAGCTTGTGCTTCCATCATCAAAAAAAGAAAAAGTAAAATAAAATACCCCAAAAACTTGGCTACTTGCTTTGAGCAGGATTTTTTTATATGTTTGGTACTTATTTAGGTTCAGGTCCTTGTAATGTCTATTTTTGTTAGAAAAATCTACCTCTGGTTCTACTTCACAGACATGGTAGTGATGGTTCTGCAAAGCACTTAAGCCTGTATTTGATTTTTAAAGCCCCAGGGATGGGCTTAAATTCAAAAATTAATCATTTATTGCTACCACTGTGCATTCATTATTAAAATCTCCCACTGGAGAAGTTGGCTGGGAGCTGTGACAGCACCATGGCAGAAGAGAGCACTGCAGGGGAACTGAGGCTTAATTAATGCGGTGCAGCCACTGGAGAATATAAGATCTACCTTAAAATAAATCAGACAATAATTTGTATCATTTGCTGTGCATTACCAGGGTTTTACTCCCATTAAAAAAAAAAAATTCTAGACTTCCTCTCTAAACAACCTGATCATTGTGTGCAACACCTTTTCCTTTAGGCTGACAAAAACCTGGGATCACATTGCTGATTCCTCACAATTTTCCTGGAGTGGCCAAGAGCTTTGGTGGTTATAAACTTCCATTTTACCCACTTGTATGTCCAGTTATCCATCACCACTCTCATTCCTCCCCAGCCTTTCCTCATGCCTTGGTTCCCCTCAGAGCTGCCTGCATGCTGCTGAGACCCCAAAATCCCACCAGGTTCTGGGAGAGCAATCACTCCATCTTTCTTTTGCTGATGTTCTTGAGAGAAACTCCTCTTTACTGCTGAAAATACTGGGGATCTCTAAAATACAGATTCATCAAAGTGTCTAAGCAGCTGAGGTAGGAATTCAAAAAAGACATCAAAGACACCCCATTAATGATCATTTTTATTATTTTGGGTTATTTTTCTAAGAAACTTTCACACTTCCTCCCAATAGTCATCATAATCATGAGTTACTTTTTAGTGTGAGGAGTGCCAAAGATGTAAGATTTTTTTTCTTGAAACATGTCTGGTTTCAGTTAATCTTGTGTCAGTCCTGAATAATTCTGCCAAATTAAACATTGAACCAGAGCAAGATCAGTAATGCAAATGGAATAGATTTTTAGCTGAGGGATAAGTTCTGAGATCCCCAGGAGGTGGGGAAGCATAAAGAGCTATTGATTGTATTGTTAGAGTAATTAAGACAGCTATTAACAAAGTTCAGGCAAGTTTCTCACCCCAGCTGGTGAAATAAACAGCAGGAATGTCCCATGATTACAGGCATAAAATGGTTTGGGTTGGAAGGGGCCTTCAAATCATCCAGTGCCACCCCCTGCCATGGGCAGGGACAACTTCCACTACCCCAGGTAGCTCCAAACCCTATTTGACCCAGTTCTGACCATTTCCAGGGATGGAACAGGCGCAGCTTCTCTGGGCACCCTGTGCCAGGGCCTCACCTCCCTCACAGTGAATAAGTTTTTCCTAATATCCAAACGAAACCCACTGTCTTTCCATTTAAAGCCATCCCCCCTTGTGACATGTCCTATTTAATCTCACAGAACAAATGACCATGTCTTGAATTGGTGCCATTATTTTCCATCCAGTTATAAATTAATTAATTTGATTCCAAACGGAAAGAACCCCCTGATTTTAGCAGTCTTCAATTGCAGTTTGTAAATATCAGTGAAGGCTGACCTAGAGCAGAGGCTGGACAGAACTAAAGAATAAAGCAGGGATTTATTCAAAGGATTTCCTCCATGGATGCACCTTGGGCAGCACCAGAGCCCAGCCAGGGCTGCACCCAAGATGAACCAAAATGGCCCCAAAATGCACGAGCGCTCCCGGGCTCTCTCCCTGGGATCAGTTCTGCTCCATTTGCACCTTGCAGTTCATTGTCCCATCCCAGCTTTAGCCC